TTAATAATTTGATAATGTATTCATCGAAAGATTAAAAAATATAAATTTTCATTTCTATATAGGATATTTTCTTAATATCAAATATGATAAACTATTTAACAGAGAAAATTTGACAAGGAAAAAGTTTAACATTCAAATTCTAATGAATATTAAAATACAAACTAAAGAAAAATGAGTAGTTAGAAAATAAAGAAGAACAACAAAAGAAAATGTCAATAGAAAAAGACTTTGTTGAGAAATATAGAGAAAGAAAAAAACTTAAAAATAAATAAATTAGGAAAAACAACCTGAAAAAAAAGAGTATATTGGTTATTGTGTGAGGGTAAGATTTAGAGTTTTCTTTATGGCACGATATTAAGAGTGTAGTATCAAAGAAAATTAATTAATGTAATTTAGATTATAACATTATGATAATTGTTATTGTATATATAAATAAAGTTGCTTTCATGATTGTTTTTATTGTTGTGGAGTTAGAAATTAAATTTTTAATAAATACTTTCAATATTTAGAATATAACATTACGATAACTGTTATTGTATATAGAAATAAAGTTGCTTTCATGATTGTTTTTATTGTTGTGAAGTTAGAAATCAATTTTTTAAGTATTTCTCTATCGAAGACAGTAATAAAGTGTATCACAAAATTTATCGACAAAGCCAACTACAAACACAATATACTTAAGTTGAAGCAATAGAGATTTGAAAGACTTTAAATCGATCTTTATGAATTGGTTGGTCAATGATTAGTATTTTATCAGATGCAAAGTTTATGGTGCAAATATTACAAAATGAAGATAATAACATTATGGAAAATAGATGCCACTTGCGAATATATATGAAGATCGATGTACTTTTTCAAAGAGATCAACATTTTATATATTCCTCAAACACGAAATGTTTTAACTCATAATCTAATGCAATTCTCTATTTCCTTGCTGCATAGAATTGTTTAGAATACAACTTTCTCAATTTAGGTTGTAAACGACACATTTATGTCGTATGACCATTTGAAATAGATTATAAATTAATATATTGAAGTTGTTTACTAAAGAATAAAATAGTATAAAGTACAGAAATCTCATATATTTGGAGGCTAATTACATCATATCTGGGAAGTTTCCTCAATTACAAAAATCTCAATTTTTTCATTGCTCTCAAATACATTCCTTGGTTGTCCGATACATTGCAAATGACATATTACTTCAAGGGAGGGATGTATTCGAGAGGGGATAGGTATGTATCCGAGAGGGAATAGGTGTATCCGAAAGGAAATAAGGATGTATCCGAGAGAGGATTATAATATCTTAAGTTGTGAATTTATGTAATTTTTTATCTAGTTTGTTTATATTGATGGATAAGAAAGAAAACAAATAAGAAAAAGAAATAATTAAAAATGCATATATTTATTGAAAAAAGATATTAAAAATAAAGTTTTAATAATAGTTTTTGATGCTCACTACATACACTCATTATGCCAGCTAAGCATTCATGGAGGTAAATATTTCAGTTTTAAATAGTCAGGGGGTGATAGGACTCTTGTGAAATTTAAGTCTGTAGTTGGAGATCCGGATATACGCTGAGGGGGCATTTGGCTTTAATGTTTTAGTGAGGAGGAAATTATAGTGTAAGTGTTTATATTTTATTTTAAAAAAATCTATTTTATATTTATATACATGAACTTTTAAATGTTCTTCTATCCTTGCTATGTATTTTTTAACTAAACATTTTATATAATGACGCACAAAGCACAAATATGTTCACTAATTAATTATAATAACTGATAGTACTGGTGATTGTAACTGAGGGTGGTTGTTGTTATTGGTAAGTGGGACCATGGGGCTGGGGATGGGTGGCACGTAGTTGATAAAGGTAGGCAACAATGACGGTAGTTGATAATAGTGGGCAGTAACGATGATAGGTGATAATGGTGGATGATAACACAGTAACACTGAATGAACATAACTATGCGAATTTAGATCCATTAAGTGGTTTAAACATAAAAATGTGCACTTACTAATTAAGATCCTGAAACCAACGAACTTATGAAGCATTATAAAATTTCGCTTAAATATCTACTAAAAAGAAGAGCAATTTTAGATTATAACTTTATAATCGAAGGGACTAACTCCTTAATATCTTATCCTTCCCTCATGAGCTAGCTTTTGAGGTTAAGTTAGGCTCATGTGTCGTATCTTTACATACTCGACATTCATAAAAGAAAGCAATTAAGACCTTCAATTGGACGAATGGTCCTTAAACTCATTGATCAAACTCTCCAGAAAACAGTAAGATGATCCACCTTCTAACAAGGCCTTCCTGCTTTTGTCTTTCAGTTCTTCCATTTTCTTTCTGATACCATTCTTCTCCTCTGTACTATCCATCATCAGTCTCCTTATGGCATTCTCTATCTCCTCTGCTGTGACCAAAACCGGACTCTCACTCCGGTACTCCATCTTTATATCTACGGCTATCTCTAAATCAACCACCATCTCGAAAGCATTTACTTGCTGCTCTGCATACATAGGCCATGTTGCTATCGGAACTCCAAACCACAAGCTTTCCAGTATCGAATTCCAACCACAATGCGTTATGAATCCTCCAATCGACCTATGAGATAGCACCGCTACTTGAGGTGCCCATCCAATCACTTTCCCTCTATTCATAGTTCTTGTCAAGAAACCATCCGGCAACACTTGCTCCGGACGTGCAACATCGTCCGAAGCACCTATTTCACCCTTGCCCTGCGGCTGCCGTAATGACCACAAGAAACGGCAGCCGCTATGGTCAAGAGCTACTGCAATTTCCTTCAATTGTTCCTCGTTAAAGGAACCGTAGCTCCCGAAACAGAGGAACAATACAGAAGAATCTTGTTGCTCATCTAACCAGCTATTAATACTCTCATCCGGCTCTTGATTCAAGTTGATTATAGGCCCAATTGGGTATAAAGCAGGAACCCCATCATCGTTATCAAGGGATTTAATCGAATGAAGCTCGAGCTCAACAAAAGTGTTAATTATAATCCCTTTCGCTTGTCGTAACATTCGAGCAGTAGACAGAGGTAAGTGCAATCGGCCAATTTTATCCAACATGGCATTGGGCAAAACCTTAGCAGGAAGAGGATGGATGTAAGTCGAAACAGGAAGGAACGTATCCGAGTTTTTAAAATCGGAGATGTCACGATTGTGTTCATCTTTAAGTGTCTGTGCATAAAACATGAGTCCAAGAAAAGCAGCACTAGAAGTGAAGAACACATAGCTTGGTAAACCAAGCTCTGTTGCTACTTGTATCATTTTGTCACTAAACATGTCAACAATCACACCAACAAGTCGATTAGTACTACTAGTCTTCATGAAGTTTTGGATTATTGCATTTCTTACTAGTTCCTTCGAATTATTGAAGGTTTCAACAAGAAGAGCTTCTCGATTTGACAGATGGTTAGTTTGAGTTTGAGGAGAAGAAAGTTGCAAGAACTGCAGGCGTTGGTTCAACTGCGATTGATTTGTATAGGTATGAACTCGGGTTTCAATTGGAAGATCGATGACGAAGAAAGTAATTGAAAGCCAATTGACTCGGCTGATGAGTAATTTGCCAATTTCAACAGCAGCAACGAGGTGACCCATTCCTGGCCCTGGAATGAAAACTAGCTGCTTAGTGCTCTCCATGTTTCTTACTGATTGATCTACCACAACACTGATAATTTAAGTAGGTGTTTGATCATGAATTTTTTTTGCAATTTTTGAATAGCAAAAAAAATATGTTTTAATTTCAAATGACTTATAAAAAGTAAAATGAAATAGCTCTAATTTTTATATTAATATACCTAGACATAATAATTCCATAAAGGACGAAATCAGAAAATAGAAAAAGGCCAAAGGTGTTGTTGTCATTCAATTACGACCTCCATCTGGTATCGTGGATACATTGGAAGCCTGTAATCAACGGAAGCAGATAACCACAAAATGGATAGTATCTTTAGAGATTCATTTCTCTCTACCAACCATGGACGAAAAAATTATACCGTCAATTCATTTTTAGAAATATTTGTTTTTCTAGCCAGATAACAATAATGCTAAGTTATGTTTAGCCATAATTTTTTATTTTTTGGAAAATTAAATTGTGGTGAAATTTCAACATGTGTTTAACCATAATCTTGAAAAATATATCCCACTTTCTTTAAAAAAGACATGAAACATCGTATACTCATAAGTTTTAAACCATAAAAAACTACACATGAATTCAACACAAAATTTTCACTTTTATAATAAACCAGATAATACGACATTATCCAAACATCATAACACGATATTTTAATAAACACTACTTATAATTAATATAATTACCAGCTACTATAATTTATCAAATTATAATTAATTACAAAGATCTATCAATACCAAAAATAAATCATAACAATAGTACTCTTCTCCTATCTTTCATATTAGAGTTGTTGGCCAGAGTTAGCCATAGTGTTGTGGCTTCAAATATCTGGAGTTTGTTATTATGTCCGTTGGGATTAGTTGATATAGTGAACAATAGAGATATTACTTAGTAGACTATTATAAGGGATGAGGATTAAGTAGTTTAATTCTTAGATTGCATAAAATTGTAATCTAAATCATAGCTCGTGTTTAGTGGATGTATTGGTGAAAGCCTGAATGATAGATCATGTTATTTCCCTAGTAAAAATCGTGTGTTCTTTACTACTCTCTCCATTCCATATTAAGTTAATTTTTGAGGTGTTTCACACCCTTTAAGAAAAGTAGATTAAGACATAAATTGAATCTAATTTTCCATTTTTATCCTTATTAATTATTGTCAAATTTATGATTAAAATAACTAAATATTAATTAATCACTAATTCAAACTAATGAAGGATAAAATTAGAAGAACACTCTATAAATAATCTTAAAAACTGAACAATTAAATTAATTTGAAAAATAAAAAATACCTAAAAAATTAACATAATATGGAATAGAGCAGTATTACAAGCATCAAAATGGATATAATGTATAAAAATAGTTCAGATTCAAGAAATCATAATATTACAAGGACAGAGCCAGTAAGCTCCATCTTTTTTCTAGCAATCATAGTAGAATTGCTACATTACATTACTTAAACAAATGCACTCTTCAGCTACACATCTGCTGATTACAGTGAAAATTAAGGTATTACAAAGAAACAAGACAAATTTCTTGTTCTGCCCTTCCCTGTAAAATATTCAAACAACTTCTATGGTTCACAGAAGAGTGTTGTCAGTCAATAATTTGCAAAAATTAACATCACCTGTAGAATCTTTCTTCTTGTTCTTCTTCTTGAAATGCTTCGTAGCCGCTTTCAGTACCTTAACCCACCCCTGCACACAATAACATACTCTGCTTTATTCCTCATCTTGTTCTTTATTTTTATTTTTTATAAAAAAAAAAACAGAGAGTCGAGATTCGTATTACCTTTCGTGGGGTTTGAGTAGTCGAGGTGAGTTTAGAAGAAGAAGGTAGACGAGTAAAATCAAACGCCTTCTTCTTTCTCTTCTTGGATCTATGATACTCTCTCATTTTCTCTGTAACAGCATTAGACAACTTCCTCTTGATTTTTGCCGTAACTTTGTTGAAATTAGTACATCCTACCGAGACATCCTCATACGACAGCTTTCGAGATAAACCAGAGCTGAACCTCCGGTTAGACGCCGATGACAATGGTCTAGGTACTAGAGGAGACCAAATTGAACTCTGGGTATAATCGAAATCGAATGCTGAATTATCTGGAAATTTACAGAGCAGATCATTGGACATGGAACACTGCAAATGTTCAATGACCATCACCATTGGATATCCATAATTGTTCATATTGGTTTGTCTGAAATTGCTCAGATGAAATGGAAAAACAGAGGACCAATTTAAAAAGCACAGAAAGTAGCCGTTACAACATTCAGGGGACAAGGATTCCTCATAACTCCACGTGTCAAGATCATGTTCATATTCAGAATATCAGAGGTAAGTAAATCGGGTTTCCCTAAAAAAAGAAAAAAGTTGACTTGAATTTTTTTAAAAGTATATAATAATAATAATAAAAAAGTAAAATCTTGTAAGGTTAAATCAGGAAATTTAGAGCCCACTTGGATATGAAAAGTTTTTTCTTTCTAAAAAAAAATTTTGATTAGTTTTTTAAAGTGAATTTCCGGAAGTTGAAAATATTTTTCACTCATAAAACTTTTGTAAAAAAATGAAGTGAAATTTATTTTCGAATACTCCTTTTATCTCGGTTTATGTATTTTTTTTTTTGGAAAAGTAGTATTTTGATCCTCAAGTTATTGTTTTATTGCGATTTTAATCCTTGTGTTATAAGACTTACCACATTTGATCTTCAATTAATTAAAATGTGTTATTTTTGTCCCTTAAACAGTTAAACTAATGGATATTAAGAAGTTTTGATTAAAAACATTGAGTATTTAACAGAGACTCTACACAAACAAAAAGTTAGAGGCAAAATAATGCAATATCTTAGTATGATTCGTTTAATAAACAGGTGTGTAAATTGATTATTTCAACCTTCGAGGATAAGTATGTGTCAATGATGAGTGGACATTCATTGTGAAGCAAATGATAAAGTTATTGGGCATTATCACCATGAAATTGAGTAATATATTATCACAATACATATGCAATGTATACCAAAAGCAAAAAAAATAGGCAAATGTAAGTACATTAGGGCCTCACTAATCTCAAATAAAAAGATTCTCAAAGTAAATTAGATGTCCACTCCTAAAAGAAGATAAAAATTGAATTTAGTAGAAGTAAAAGGAAACCCAAAAATAAGTATTTATGTTTCTTTAGATAACAATCCTTAAATTTGTTAACTTTAAGGATTAAAATAACAAATTTTAATTTATTGAAGGTCAAATATGCTAAATCATACAATACAAGAACCAAAATTGCAATAAGGCAGTAACTTAAGGACCATAATTATTATTTTCCTTTCAAAATTCAACCTATGTAAACTTTGATCAATATTTTAAAATGTATTTTTTTCATTATATGGACAAATGACATGATAAAATTTACAGTTTATACTACTTTTAATATAGTTATTGATTATTAATTTTTAAAATATTGAGTTAATATATATAGTTCAATTTAGCTTCAAATATTAGTACTATTCTTCAACTTTAAAAATAGAAGAAGCACTATTTTTCAACTTCAAATATATATATTTTAAATATTGATCAAATCATATAGAGAAAATACATAATTACCCCATTCGACTATGACACTTTTTTTTAAAAAGACACTCAAATTTTATAAATACCCTAATACCCCACTAAACAATTTAAAAGTAGTATAAATATCCCATTTTTCAGTGGGAAAATGCATAAGTACCCCCCCAACCTATGCCCAAAATCCCTGAGACACACCTAAACTCTACTAAGGTCCTATTACCCCCCGAACTTATTTTATACATAATTTTCTACCCCTTTTCGGCCTACGTGGCACTTTCCTTGAAAAGATTGTCAACACGCGTTGGGCCCACAAGATAGTGCCACGTAGGTCGAAAAGGGGTAGCAAATTATATATAAAATAAGTTCCGGGGGTAATAGGACCTTAGCAAATGTTAAGTGTGTCTCAGGGATTTTGGGCATAGGCTGGGGGGGTACTTATGCATTTTCCCTTTTTCAGTCAATCCTAATTATAAGAAAAGAAGGTGTAATCATGCACCAATTATTATTTGTTACCTGTCAATTTTATATAATTTCCTAATCTTAGTTTTTATTTATGTTTTTTAGTTTTAATTCTTTATTTTTTTCTTTCTTCTTCAATTATGCTTAACCCCATCCCTTGGTCTTCTTCGTCCTGTGGAGTGACCGCCATTGCTACAACACCATTTACAACACTAAATCAAAATTAGACTGTAAAATCAGATCCGCTATCAAAATTAATTTTTTTCAAATTAAAATTTCTATCAAAGTCTTCTTTTTGTGTATTTTGCTCTAAATCAACATAGGTTGTATTTGGAAAAAATGAATTTTCTCCCTCCAAACGCAGATTAATGCGAATGCAGAGTTCATTCTGAAGAGGACAATCTCCTCCACTTTATTCGATCATATTATAAAGGGTAAATCAGCTCATGAAATATGGAGGACCCTCAATCGCTTGTTCAACAAGAAGAATGAAGTTCGGCTGCAGATATTGGAGAATGAATCGGCTAACTGTATCACTCCGAAATTTCTAAGTTAAGACTCGAACCATTCTTTATATACTTGTAGGGTCATATCGGGTGATTCTTAATTGCCCATATGTGTAAAGGTAATTTTTTTAGTGTAATGACCCTCTTGGTCATTTTTGTGTCTTGCCTTCTGTGTGTCGTTTAGAGCTTTCCTATAGCGACCCCAAGTCATTTACGACTTGCTGGGACTGACAGTTCGGTCACCTGGTCGTTCGTTTGGTCTTGGTGTGAGTTTTTGTGTTTTGGAGCTTTTGAACCTTGAACGATCATTTTCGATCAAAAGTTCATGAAGATGACATCGGAATCCAGTTCTGACGATTTCATCAGCTTCGGAAGGGTCATTTTAGGCTAGTAGCATGGTCGACTTGACTCCCGAGGTTTTCAGTGTGAGTCGGTGTGATTAGGCGTTTTAGCCTTTGAATTTTGGCTTAAATTTGACTTTGGTCAACATTTTGAGTAAACGCGCTCGTATGAGAATTCTGTCAGTGCGGTTAGCTCCGGAATGTTGAGTTTGGTCTAAATTGACCCTTCTTTTGTGTCCCGAGGTTTTCGATATCTTTCCGAGCCATTTTGTGGGTTTTGACTTAAAATGGCCTTTGGAAGTGGGACCCACTTTTTATCGAAATGACCTCTGATGGAAATTTCGACTGCGCCGTTGAGTCTGGAATATTGAATTTGGTATGGTTGCATATCTCGTTTGCGTGCACGGGGTTCCGAACGAGATCGGAGTACCCCGTCGGGGTTTTTAGTTTTGGAAAAATTGCAGAAAATCTGCAATATAATGCAGATTTTCAGCAACAATTCCAAAACTTCTAACTCTCTTAACTCTCTCATCTTTTGTCCGATTTGGGCGATTCAAAAGGCAAAGTTGTGAGATTTTTCGAGGGCAACGCGTTGGTGAGCTCGGATAGTGGTTTGGGGTTCCCGTTTGAGGTAAATTCGCGATAAAACCTGACTGTGTACTGTTTTCGAGTCCTTGTTTTTGGAATTTTTGTTTTGGTCATATCTCACTCATTTTAGCTCGGTTTTGGGTGATTCGAAGTCCCACATGTTGAGAATTGTCGTGACTTCGTTGTAGAGTGTTTAAAGAGTGCTGGGCACCTTTTGATTTTCGTTTATTTGATTTTGGACTGCTGCAGTAGGGTTTCTTTAGTTGATTAAAAGTGGGTTTTCTTGCTTGTTGGTTTTTGCTGTGTTTTGAGCCTCGGATTGTGTTCCATTTTGGAACACAAGTTTGGAGTGTTGTTTAGGGTCTCTTGACGGAGTCAAATTCGGATAGTTCGATGCGGGTCCCACGATTCCCGTTTTGACTCCAAAATTTACCCGTCTCCGTTTGTTGTGATTTTGGTGTCTAAATGACCATAGTAACGTTGTGACTCTATTTTTGATAGCGGGGCAGCGTTTTGAGACTGTTCGGAAAGGGAAAGCTCCGGTAAAGTGATTTGGAGAGCGCGCGGTTGGCCTTAAGGTAGGCTACGGCTTTCCTTTATTTTAGATTGAGCTTAATTGTGTAAAAACATGTCGATTGGAGTGAATTGGGGGTGGATACTAGTTTACTACCTTACTTTGATTAGATACCTTATGTTAGGATCGATTGGCCACATTTCGGGTATAGTATCATGTTATCCGGTTTAGTAGAGTTGCATGTCTATGTGCTAAATGTTATTGTATGCTTGTATGCTTTGTATTGTATGCCTTAGTCTAGGTTAGGCTAGCATTGCCTTAGACTTATGACCCGTGTGGGCTGGATAGCCTTGACTTTCTGCCGACGTCGTTCGGATGACTTAGCTCCTTGTAGACTGGAATAGCAGACTTGAGTTGATAGTTTGAGCCTTAGATTAGGCGTTATCGCTACTTGTTGCACTTCTGTATCTTCTCCCTCTTATTCTGCGGTTCCGACGCATTCTCGAAGGTTTAGTGCATCACCAGAGGTGTGGGATTGAGATAGTATAGGCTTGGAGCCTTTTCTGTGATTTCTTAGAGTGGACGGCGTTCCACGATGGTTGTTGTGGGATTGGATCCTATTGGAGATACCATCACCCCCGGGGTCGTTCTTTCTAGCTGGGCTGGGAACGTATCGTTGGCTGGGTAGACTCGGTGATATCGGCGATCGCCCCCGGGCCTCTCTTTCTAGCTGGGCTGGGAGTGTGCTGCTGGCTGGGTGTCCCCGGGTCGCTCTTTCTAGCTGGGCTGGGAGCTGACTGCACGGTAGGACGACTCGCGATATCTACCTCACTCACGGGTCCCTCTTTCTAGCTGGGCTGGGAGTGGACTGTTTGGTTGGGTGCCCCCTAGGGTCACTCTTTCTAGCTGGGCTGGGAGTGCACTGCTGGCTGGGTGGAGTCTGATGGATTATCTTAGTTACTTTGGGCTGAGAGCCCGATTTTCTTCTTTCTCAGTAGACTTAGCTTTTCCATGTACCTGTCGAGCTTATGGGGGTTCGTTCAGGTTTTATTTAAACTTGTGCACGAGTGTACCTTCTGGGCTTATGGGGGTCCAGTTAGGTTTAGTCTAGTTGTACTTAGTTTGTTTCTGGTATGCTCGTGTGCTTTCTTTTCATATTCGCTTTGACCTCTCTGTGTCTAGATTCTATCCTTTCTTACTGTTTTTACCCTTTTTGCTCAGTCGGCCTATG